TATATATATAAGAAGGGATTCATTTATTCTAGAAGTATGTCTACCTAGACATATTCCGTTCAATAACTCATGTTTTACATTAAAATTTACATTAAATTTTAACGATCTAACTGTTGAATTTAAAGTGTTTAATGCATAGATCAAGTTTGCAAATTTTTAAAAAATTTGAAAATTATTTAATACTTTATTTCATTAATTCAAATTAACGGATAATCATAAAATTATTTTATGCATTGATTTAAATTAATGAAACAAAATATCAAATAATTTTTAAATTTTTTAAAAATTTGCAAATTTCATCTATGTATTAAGAACATTAAATTCAACGGTTAAATCGTTAAAATTTGATATAAAACATAAGTTATTGAACAGAATAAATCTAGATAGACTTATCTTTAGAATAAACAAATATCTCCTCTCACACACACAGAGAGACACACACATTGAGACACATACAAAGAGAGACACACAGGCACATACAAAAACACACACAATTTAATATTATTGTCTAATTACTTAAACAAGTCGAGTTATGATTTTTTCACGTATTAATGGGTCTTTTCTTTTCACAAGTCATCTTCATCCTTTTTCCTCTAATCAACTCTTCTTTTTTACGAAAAAAAAAATCCTTTTGACAAAAGATTTATTAGATTTACTATTATTATTTAATTACAAGTCGAGTTACCATTTTTTCACGTGTTAATGGGTCTCTTTTTTTTTTACAAGTCATCTTCATCATTTTTCCTCTAATCAACTCTTCTTTTTACGAAAAAAAATCCTCATGAAGAAATCTAAATATGATCCGACAACCATGATCAACAACCGTTTGCATGCTTTTGTTGAAATTCTTTCACTATCTTCATCAATTTGATAACAACAAAGGTTAATTATGACTCACTTATTCAATCATTGCAAAAACCTTAAAAACATATAAGTTCATTTTTCTTACTCTATGTACCATTTTAAATCCCATCTTGACTCGTCCAAATTATTTTTTCTTCTTATATATATAAGAATAAGTCTTAATAGATTTACTTTACTCAATAATTAGTATTCTAATCAAATTTTAATAATCTAATTATTAAATTAAAAATTCTTAATATATAAATTAAATCTATAAACTTTTAAAAGATTTAAAAATCATATATTTTATTACATAAATTCAAATTAACGTATAAAATATTTTTACAATTATTCATCAATTTAATTAATAAAGTAAAATATCAAATAATTTATAAATATTTTTAAAATTTGTAACCTTTATCTATCCATTAAAAAGTTTTAATTTAATGATTATATCCAAACAAAACTGACTACATCAAAAACGGGATTTATAGACTATAGTACCTGCAGTTTTAGAGAATTCAAAATTCCAAATACACAAGGGTGCATCTTTCACTCATTCTGCCGTGTGTATAAATAATTTTGACCAACAATTCCGAGCCGCATAATTTACATATATCTAAAAATGGTGATTCTAAACTCAAAATGGAACATTTTGACTTGGAATGAGCTACATAACCATTAGAGTTTTAATGGAGACAAGGCAGGGTCAATTGATGGCAACACAAGATAACTACTTTGTGGTCTCAGTGGATGGTTCCTCGGCATTGCTGCTGTGAATCAACTGATCAAAACATAGAGTCAATAATTAGCTATACATTTAAAAGAGAAAGATGGGAGAAGGGTCAAGACAACTCTGATAAGACATGTTTACCAAGGACCCCAGTTGCTCATATGCTTCCAACACCTTTGGATCTTCCTCATCTTCATAACCTATTTGTACTATTCTAGGTCCATTTACAGACCAAAAGGCTCTTCGACCTGCCTCCTGCAAAACAAAGAAAGCTCATAGCATAAATCTGATGCATCGAGTAGCGATATATCTGAAAGGAGGTTTTCAGAAAGAAAGAGAAGAAAATCAGAAAAAGGGATATCAGAAAGAAAGATGTGACAGTTACGTAAAAATTCTCATTACCCTTTGTGCTTAATTCATGGTGCTATATATGCACCTTACGTACAATGCGACAAAAGAAAAAAGGAATAAAAGTTTGTTAACCCTGTCCTGCATACAATAACCGAATTGCCCATTGAATAATATGCAGCCACTAATTCATTCAGTCACGTAGTCGTCTAGGTGAGGTGGTTTGTTACGGATCCTTTGGGGTCTTCCATAAGTAATAACTTCCTCCTGCACACTTAATGGGTCTGGTGGGTCATACTAGGAAATGGGCCTAACACCTCCTCCTGGTTCGAGAGTCACCTTGTCCTCAAGGTGGAATTGAGCTTTAATTTGAGCCCACGGCTCCCAACTGGTCTCTTCTAGGGGAAACCCCTGCCACTGAATCAAGACAAGTTGCTGAGGGTCATCAGGATCATTCGAAAGCTTCCAGTTCAAAATGGCTGCAGGTTCCAGTATGGGTTGGTTGTCCTCTATGTCCGGAGGTAAGCTAAGGGGCTGAGGTGATGGTGGAGGACCCAAATGAGGGCGAAGTAGACTGATGTGGAAGACATTATTAATGCGTGCAGTTGGTGGCAGGTCAAGCTTGTAGGCAACATTGCCAACCTTCTCCAAGACTTTGAAAGGACCAAAGTACCTCTTCTGCAGCTTACCAAGGTACCAGTGACTGAGGCTTGGCAACGAGGGCGGAGGCGAACATAAACCAAGTCACCAATATCAAAATGAAGATCGCGGCGACGAGTATCTGCCCATCTCTTCATGGCCTCTTGTGCCTTGTGGAGATTAGAGTGCAACTTACGCAGAATCGCATCCCTAGTAGTAACCTCGGAATGGGCTGCAACATTAGGTGAGTCCCCTATCAAATTCTGTGGAATGTTAGGAGGGGGGCGACCAAACATTTCTTCAAATGGTGTGAGGCCCGTAGAGCTGTTCACAGTGGTGTTGAAACACCATTCAGCCCACGGCAGCAGCTTGCCCCACAAGGAAGGGCGATGATGCACAAAGCTCCTCAAGTATTGTTGTAGGATTTTGTTAGCCACCTCTGTTTGGCCATCCGTTTGAGGATGATAGGCGGTAGACATACGCAACTTAGTGCCGCTCAGACGAAATAATTCGCGCCAGAATTGACTCAAAAATATAGGATCCCGATCCGAAATTAAGCTGCGAGGAAAACCATGAAGTTTGCACACCATGTTAATAAAAAGTTCAGCAACTTTCAGAGCAGAGAAAGAACGTGGCAGCATGCCAAAATGGGCCCCTTTGGAAAATCTATCCACTACCACGAGTATAGTATGCCCCTGATATGGGGGAAGTCCTAGTATAAAATCCAGTGACAAATCTTCCCAGCAGCGCTCTGGTGGTGGGATAGGTTGCAGTAGCCCTGGAGGGCGTCGAGTTGGTGTCTTTGTCTGCTGACATGTAGTGCATTAAGAGACAAAAGTGTGGACATCCTTCCGCATGTTAGCCCAATAAAAATTGGCCTGCAACTTGCTCAAAGTGCGACTCACACCGGGGTGGCCAGCTAGTGGGGTGGAGTGAAATTCCTGCAAAAGTAGAGGGATCATGGAACAGGAACGGGGAAGCCAAATCTTGCCTTTGAAGAGAAGTAGATCCTGATGAAGTGAATAGTCCAGAAATGAGGAGGGGGTGCTAGCAAACTTGTTCTTGACGTCTTGGAAGTCACTGTTGGAAGCAAGGGAGGACTTTAGATCCTCAATGAAATCCATTTGGGGAATGGATAAGATGAAGAGAGCCGAATGTGATAATGTAGTGTCAATAGGGGTCGCTGGTGGTGATTCGACCCTGGAAAGAGCATCAGCAACAATGTTAGTTCTGCCTGGCCTGTAATGAATGTCAAAATCAAAGCCCAGAAGCTTGATCTGATAAGGCTGTTGAGCAGGGGTGAGAACCGTTTGTGATGTTAACTCCCTTATGGATTGTTGGTCGGTAAGTATGATAAAGTGATTACCCAACAGGTACTGCCTCCACTTTTGCACAGCACTTGTGATGGCGCATAATTCTCGGATATAAGCAGAGGAGTGTTGTAATTTGGGGCAGAACTGTTTACTGAAAAAAGCAATGGGGTGTCCGTTTTGTGAAAGCACGGCTCCCATGCCCGTTGCTGATGCATCTGTCTACACTGTGAATACACAATCAAAACGAGGCAAAGCCAGAACTGGAGCCTTGGTTAGAGCAGTTTTGAGAGAGGTAAATGCAACAGAAGCAGAATCAGACCAATGAAAATTATCTTTCTTTAATAAATCAGTTAAAGCAGAAGCGATAGACGCATAACCTGCCACGAAGCGTCTATAAAAACCTGTAAGCCCCAGGAAGCCTCGAAGGGATTTGAGTGAGGTTGGAGTTGGCCATTCGAGCACTGCTTGAATTTTAGAAGGGTCAGGTTGCACTCCTTGCTGAGATACAATGTGACCCAAATAATGAATGGATTGCTGGCCAATTGAACATTTGGAGCCGTTGAGGTGAAAACAGTTTGCAAGCATAAGTTGGAAAGCTGTTTCCAGGTGGCTGAGATGAGACTCCAATGTGGGACTGTAGACGAGTATGTCATCAAAAAAAAACAATGATGAAACGTCGTAAATGTGGTCGGAACAGGTCGTTCATGGTAGCTTGGAATGTGGATGGAGCATTACACAACCCAAAAAGCATAACCTTGAACTCGAAATGGCCGTTATGGGTTCTGAACGCTGTTTTCGTTGAATCCGAAGGCACCATCAATATCTGATGAAATCCTGAGAAGAGATCAAGCTTGGAAAACCATGAAGCATGACCGAGTTCGTCCAACAATTCATCAACGGTTGGGATGGGGAATTTGTCCTTGACAGTGGCGGCGTTTAGAGCACGATAGTCCACGCAAAATCGCCATGTGTCGTCCTTCTTTTTGACTAAGAGCACCGGAGATGAGAATGGACTGGTACTGGGAGTGATAAACCCAGATTCAAGCATCTTTGCAACCTGTGTCTCGATTTCCTGTTTTTGGAAATGAGGATAGCGGTATGGTCGAACTAAAATGGGAGGGGTATTGGGCAGTAGGGGAATGGAATGGTCTGTGCTTCGCGAGGGGGGAAGGGATGTAGGGGTGGGGAATAAGGTGGAATATTTTGTGAGTAATGATTGGAATGGGGGGCAATGGAAGGAATGGTGGAATTTGTTTGTGGTTGTTGAGTTTGAGGGGGTAAGGGTAGTGTTGGTGAAGAAGCCTCTAGTATTAGTTGGAAAAGAGCTTCAACACGGTTTGTATGATGTAAGCGTCGTAACTGGTGGGCAGTGATTGGGATGGGGCTGGAGCTATGTTCTCCCTTTAGTTCGACCATGTTGCCTTCCCACATGAACCACATAAAGGGCCCATTGTAGTCCATAATAAATGGGCTTATTTGTGTAAGCCATTGCACTCCTAACACAATATCTGTACCAAAGAGGTCTAAGGGGTATAGATCAATGGGAAATTTCAGAGATGCAAGAGTAATTTGGGCTTGAGGACAATAAGTTGTACACGGTAGGAAGTCTCCATTACCTACCATGACCTTTAGTGGACTCGAAGTGGGCTCGAGGGGAAGGTTAAGGAAGTGGGCCACTTTGGATTGAATGAAATTGTGTGTTGCCCCGCTATCCACCATAATATGGACCTTGTACCCCCGGTGATCCGAAAAGTCTGTAGAGTCCATTGACCCGAAAGAGAGTGGAGACTGATCAGACCCGCTTCAAGTGAAGGGTCATCAGGGGGTTGGGATTCCTGATCTGGAAGACTATCAGAGATGTCGTCAGCCGCAGGGACAACGAGTAAGAGAAATTGTGATTTGCAACGGTGGCCCCTGGTGTACCTTTCATCGCAGTTGTAACAAAGGTTCTTGTCCCTACGATCCTGCATTTCGGCCTCAGTGAGTCGTTTGATGGGTATTTTGGTAGAGGGGGTAGGAAGGAGGGGGGGAAGCGGTTTGGTGGGGTGGATGCGGTTAGTGGCAGGGGGGGGGTGGGGGGAGTGGGAAAAGGAGGACCATAATATGGACCTCGTACCCTTTAAGTGACCCGGTGATCCGAAAAGTCTGTGGAGTCCATTGACCCGAAAGAGAGTGGAGACTGATCAGACCCGCTTCAAGTGAAGGGTCATCAGGGGGTTGGGATTCCTGCTCTGGAAGACTATCAGAGATGTCGTCAGCCGTAGGGACAACGAGTAAGAGAAATTGTGATTTGCAACGGTGGTCCCTGGTGTACCTTTCATCGTAGTTGTAACAAAGGTTCTTGTCCCTACGATCCTGCATTTCGGCCTCAATGAGTCGTTTGATGGGTATTTTGGTGGAGGGGGTAGGAAGGAGGGGGGAAGCGGTTTGGGTGGGGTGGATGCGGTTAGTGGCAGGGATGGTTTGGAGAATCTGGAAAATGGAGGTGTGACAATACGGGACTTATCGTCATGAAGCTTGGTAAAAGCCACCGCCTGAGGCATGTCGGTGGGTTGTAGAGCTGTAACCTCCCGACGGAGATGTGGTGTCAACCCAGAAATGAAGCAACTAAGGTAGAAACTAGCTGGGTAGCCAGAGATGCGATTGGCAATGGATTCGAACTCAGTGATGTAATCTTGAAGTAATTGGGCAATAAACTATTGCATTATAACATATTAACACAATTTATAAAAAGCATCTTAATCAAGTTGCATTAATCATTGATGAAACAAGGATTGATAAAAGTTAAAGAAAATTAATAACTGTTATGCATATTATTACTTACAAATTTAAATTTGTCAAAACTTGTAGAATGCATGTTTACTAATCAAGATCAAGATCAAATATTTGCTCTCCTATTCCAAACTCAAACCAATACCAATGTAACATGGAAATTTTTAAATTCCTACTAACTATCTCAAAAAACCTTGAACATAATTATAAACTAATTGCAGGTGTAGCAATTTAATCAGACCAGACCACAATTTAAAATCCTCTTGCTAAGGATAAAATAAATGTAACCATCCCCAACACTCATCCTAAGGGAGGATTTCAAGTCTACCGGTCTGTTAGGATGCCTCAGCTGCATACATCACTGCACTTCCACTTGACACTTATCGTTAATTAGAAACGGCTCGTCGCGCCGTGACCTTCTCTTGAATTCTCAAAACTAGGAGAGAAAGATAAGTTCTTATGGTACACTTGCATATGAAATAAAGTATATTTGACAGAATTCTGAGTGCGCTAATAGATTCACAAACCACTTAATATACAAAAGACAAAAAGATAAAAGTAAGTTTTCTGCTAACATTCCTAAAGACAGAGTTGCATTGTTTTTAATGCCAATAATGTACTTGCTAGATTTCAAAACCTCTCTCCAAATCTAGTCAGAAAACATCTGAAGGAGAAGGGAGCAAAAGTTCCAAATTTACCTGCAATATGATCAAGTATATGGCTTCCAATGCCTGAGTACGAATTTCTGGATCATTAACTGGTTCACGTTCAATCGAGAGTGCAGTCCCAAGTTCAAGTGGCATTTTCGATCTATCTTGCTCACTGTAGATCTACATAAAAATTAATTAATCAATGCAATTGTCACAATACAAACTTTAGTAGTCAAGATTATATTCTTAAGCTAAAAGGATATCATATGATTTGATTGATGTAAGTTCCAAGTACAATAAAATAAATAAAATAATTTTAATAAATTGAACTTATGTTTGCCTTTCATAATGAGAATTTTGACCTCAAAACAAATTAGAAGGAAAAACTCGTATAAACATAAATGATACAACAAATTAAAGAAATGGTGTAATGATAGACATCAGCTAAACTACAGTTGTTACTCGATTGAAATTAGTTTAGCCTCATTATGATGAGTAGTTAAAAATTATTTGGGTGAGGTTGGCGGAAATCTGTTCATCAATATGCAGAAGCATGCTTTGAGATCAGAAAAGGTACAGCATATAACCTTGTTGCCAGCTACAGGAAGAAGTAATGCAGGCCAGAGAAACTCTGACACCAAAAGCAAATTTTGCAGCTGATTCTCAGCTTCAAAACAACAGTTGCGAATAGTTCCAGAGACCTGCAAGCAATCAAATACGCAACAATTTTCAGATGAGAAAAGTTACGAGCAATAAAACATGACAAATAAAGACCTTCCCATGTTGGCTTAGCTTAGCCATTAGAAACAGCAACTGAAAATAGCCACAAAAATCAATGTTACTGTCACCATAATTACCATAAACAAATCTGTCAGGCAAAAATTCAACAATTACCAAACAATATCAACGATTAGTTTTCACATCGTATGCTCAGTTTAAAGAATACTGTTTCAGGGCTAAAAGGTTCTATTTATAACTAATACCAGGTTCATAAGCAACATCAGGCACAGTCCATGTGCCTGTAATGCATGCATCCCAAGGCATCAGCTAGGGGTGGCAAATGGATGTATCGGATAAAATTTGATTCGGATTATAATGGATGGATTAAAAACAATTCATTAATTAACTTATATCCATTAAATTCTCATTAAAAAAAACAATTCATCTATGACCCATTTAATAAAATTCATTCAATCCATCCATTAACAATATTTTATGGATAGATATCCAATTCATCTATAAAATTATTTTTAAAATTTTAAAAATTATGACTATTTTAAATTTTAAAAATGCTTTTTTCTCAACTATTCACAAAAATATTTTCAACTCCGCCTCAATCAGAATATCTTCTACTCATTCCCTATCAGATTATCTTTAACTTGATCTCTATTAGAGTATCTTCAACTCAGCCTCGCTCACATGATCTTCACCTCAGCCCCAGCCGAAGCATCTTCATCTCGGCCTCGACCAAAGCATCTTCACCTCAGCATCAGCAAAACATCTTCAGCCCAACTTCAACAAAAGTATCTCTGGCTTGACCTTGGTCAGAACATCTTCAGCACAACCTCAGCCAAAACATCGTCAGCTTGACCTGAGCCAGAATGTCTTAGGTCAACCTCAACTAGAGCATCCTCAACTTGTCTTAACCAGAGCATCTTTGACTCTCAGCCTTGAAAGAGCATATTCACCTCACCCTCGGCCAGAACATCTTCAGCTCAGCCTCGGCCAGAACATCTTCAGCTCAGCCTCGGCCAGAACATCTTCAGCTCAGCCTCGGCCAGAACATCTTCAGCTCAGCCTGGCCAATGAATCTTCAACTCTACCTAGGCTACAGCCTATAGTATCTTCACCTTGACGTCAACTAAAGTATTTTCAATTGGTCCTTGACTAAGGTACGTTCACCTCAGTCTAAGCTAGTGTAAGTTCAACTCAGTCTTGGCATCCTCACCTCTTTTAATGAAACCAAACTAAACTGAACCAAACAATTTTTATTGGTTAAGTTTCTATTCCTTAAAACCAAACCAAAGCAACTTGTGAAAACCCCTATAACCTATTAGTGAAAAATGAGTGTAAATTTTTAAAAAAATTAAGAAAAAAATAAATAAGAAAAAATATGTTAGATTAATTTTGATCCATTGAATGTTTAACTAGATGGTCCATTGGATTTGTAAATAAAAGGAGGGATTTTTATACGTCCATTCCATTTAATTATATGATTCATCCAATCCATCCAAGTCTTTCTTTTTTATTATTTTAACAATTAGATGAATTGGATTTTACATGGATGGACTAGATGGATCACGGATAAATAGATTATTTTGCCACCCCTAGCATCATCCCATCAGTAAATAACTCCAAGAATGCAACTAAATCATCCGTTGATAACTTCTTCCAAAAGTAGTTTAAAAATCAAAGTTCATTGAATATAAAGTACTTCTCAATTGAATTAAAAATAAAAATATTCAAACATTACCCAAGGCTGGGAAACACAAATTGTTTAGAGTGCAGCTATTGCACATACCCCTTTCTTTCTCAACAAACTGTTTGAATCAAACTGTCTGATTATCTGCTTTAAGAGACCCCGTTTTGGGTCAAGGAGAAGCTCCCTCCCTTCCCGCTGCTTTGAGATGTTAACAAGTATCGAACCAACATGCTCAAATGCATCATCTGGTAAAAAACACTTTCACTGAATCAACATGACAATTAGTGGAGAATTATCATCAATCACAACATCCATCTGAAAGGTGCAGAAAAAATCCCAAAATAAAAATGTCAAGCTTCCTGGTTTTACTATTCTCAAACCATTGAATCTAAATTCCCTGGTACAAGTGCCTCAACCGATACAGAAAACTGCTCAGAACTCAACAACATGTCACGAGATCCAACGGAGTAAAACTAATTACCTACAGATACACAAGGCATAAAAACACATCTAGTCACAGAAAACACACATACAAAATGCTTCTACAAAATTAAGTATAATCATCCAAAGTTGAGAATGACTCACCATTACTCTCATGAGTGGTTCTGCAAAACGATCTCACAAGCTTCATTACATATAATCCACGCACCTTCTCATCTTCAGTCTAACAATCACAAGAAAATCACCAATTAACAACACTATATCAGTATTAAGATCCTGTTTGGATAAATTTTTCCACAAGCACTTACAACAAAGCTAAACAAATTGAACTTCTCCCATATGTCAAAATCAACGTAAGCACTCCAGAATTTGGACTTCACAGAAATTACATGAAACAGCTTTTTATAAAATTTTAAAAGCCTATTTGGATACAAATTAAAACCACTTTTGAGAGCTTTTCTACCGAAAATAAAGAGTATTTTTCAGCAAAAATAAAAAAACTCCCAAAAGTGTTTCTAACCTTGTATTCAAACAAATCCTAAATACATAAAGTTCATTCTAACTTATAAGAGAAGCTCACTTCATTAAAGAGCTTTTGTACAAGAAATAAAGAGTATTTTTCAATAAAGAAACCCCCAAAAGTACTTCTAACATTGTATCCAAAAAGACCCTAAATTCACAAGTTAATTTTATCCAAACAGCCCCTAAATACCTAAGTTCATTTTTAACTTATTATGAGAGAAGCTCACTGCATTTATCTTAAAAGTATTTTCAAAGAAGCTTATCCAAACACGGCACAAAAACAAAATATGGACCATGCATGCTTCAATTCCAAACACGCCTTCTCTAACCAATTGCAGCCTATATATAATCACAACAACACTTCTTTAGAAAAAAAAAAACAAAAATCCAATATTTTAATTATTTTTCCACTACAAACATTTTTTTCCTATAGATAAACAAACAAAAACACAAACACAAACACAAACACAAACACACACCTGAAGCAAGGAAGCAGCACCAGCATCGAGTTGAGTGAGGTTGACCAAAAGCATGACAAGCAAGCGACCAATCCCGCACTGGGGCTTGTACAAAACATCCATCGCCGTTTCGACCAGTCCCGCACGAACCATCGCCTCCGCGAGACTCGCGTTCTGCGACAGGTTCACCAGCGCCTCCGCCGCGGCCTCCGAAACCCCAACCTCCTGAAACGACGCGCCGTTTTTCAGCAGAAACCTAACACAAGAAGCAGAAGAAGGAAAAGTGGTAGTGTGCGCGTGAGCGTGTCACCTTGGGTAACGCTAAGAGGCGCGACAAGGACGGTAAGAGCGTGTTTGGGTAATCGGCGAGGGACTGCAAGCCCTCGACGGAACCGGTTAATCCGCGAACTATGTCGACGGCGGCTTTTGTGATCTGAAACGAGAAAAGCGTGTGGAGGAAGAAGGGGCATAATGGGGATTAGAGAAAAAGGTGAAGTGAAGATGAAAATGAAAAAGAGTGAAGAGAGTTAACTTAACCTGTGGCGATGGAGAAGATAGAAAGCTCACGAGTTCTTCCATCTCCGTCGCCATTTTTTTTTTCTTTTCTTTTCTTTCTCCACTCTGCTGCTATGTCTTATGTCGCCGACTTTGCTACCTTGGTTGCTCTTTGTATACTTTTATACGACGTCGTTTTTCTTTTTTCTTTTTTCTTTTTTTTTTTTAATTTTTCTTCTTATGTAGTTATTCTTTATTTAATTCTGCTACGTTTCCTGCATTTTGCAAAATATTACTCCTTTGCACCATAATTTTTATGTTTAAGGTTTTTGTAATTTAATATTAGTATGTTATTCCCTCTGTTTTTTTTTAATTATTTTCAAATTATTTTTTTATTCTTTTTTATTATTATTTTTTTAAAATTAATAATTTATTAATTTTTTTATTTTTTATTCTTATAATTAATATATGTTTACTGAATAATGTGTTTATTCATTTTTAATGTACTTATTTCTTCACCAATTACCTAAAGAATATAATAGAAAATTAAATAATATATATTTTAAAAAATTAAAACATTAATTATTTTCTTAATTTTTTTAAATAAACTTTTAACGTCAAATAAAAAAATAGAGAGATTATATTTAAAGTATTTTTTAATATATTGGAAAATTGAGAGTAAGAATTTCTATAGTTGTGGGGCAAGAATATTAATTATTAAATAGAATTTATATGAAAAAATAATTAATGTCGATTAGAATGCGTAAATATTGGAAAAAAAATATCAAAAATTATAGTTGGAGGGAGTAGTACTCATACACGGGTCAAGCTTTTTTAATATTTATTTTTTTTATAAATTCTTTTTATATGAGAGTTTTCTCACTTCATAAAAACAAAATATGTAGAACGGTACGAAACCATTGAGATATTGAAATCAATATTGGATTTCATATTTAGTTTTCGCAGTTGGAAAATTATATATCCACCCTATTAATAAAGAAATCGATGTTTTTAGTGTATTTTTTTTTATCATTTTATCCCATAATTTTTAAAATATTTTGTCTCTCCATATATTTTTCTATTCAATTTTTATTTTTTTTCCATTTTTTCATAAATTTATTTTTGAAACATTTTCCATTTTTTAAACAATTATTTAAAATTATTTGTAATTTCTAATTATTAACTACTTACACATATTTATCATTAATTATTATTATTTATTTTATTCTTATTTTTACGTAAAATAATGAATGCATGAATTGTCTCTATTACTATATTCTCTTTAAAATCAAACTAGTTGGGACTTAATTGCATATAGATACTATCATAACTACTCAAGTTCCATATAACTTTATGTACGGGTTAGGCCATTCGGCCATACCCCTCAGCCACTAGGCCATGCTCATTTGACCATACCCCTCGGCCATTCAGTCACACCAATTCGACAACACAAAAAGCAAGATCCCATTCGGCGCCTTTGGCAGCCGATAGGAGAGGCCCGCTTGACCATGTCTCCCATCCTGAGAACCCCTTACACCATTTGGCACGGTCGGCAGTCGAATGGGACCATACCAATCAACATACCTCGGCACCTTCGATGACCGACGGTCGATCGACATCCCTGACAACCGAGACAATTTAGCAAAGGTGATTTGTTGACTGGTTAATCATCCCTAAGTAGTGATTAAGGGTTAATCATATGTGTAAGCTGATTAACAGGATATTACTTAATTTGGTAACCTTAGCACATGGCCCATCGAAGACTAGGCCCATTAATGTCAGTATAAATAGTTCACATCTTGAAGTAAAGTTACTGTTCATTTATTATTATCAATATTCGTACTTGTCCTGACTTGAGCGTCGGAGTGCCTTTTGCAGGTACCTTCTCCCATCGGAATATATTCTTGGAGCACTCGTTCGGCCTTCAAACTATGAGAAGATTACCGGTGTGCCCTTAGATAGGTACATTTTATAATTAAAAAAAATAGAGTTCATAATGCGTGAACCTTCGATCTATATAGATGTTCTTGTTTAGAGTATTTATCTTTCTTTTTCTTTACATTAGAAAACTATCACTTCAATCTTCCATGATATTTTGTTTCAAGATATTGCCATAATATAGAAGTTGGGACTGAACTGTAATTGTTACTATCATAATAACTCAAATTCCATATAACTGTAAAATCACAATATATATATATATATATATATTGTGATTTTACAGTTATATGGAATTTGAGTTATTATGATAGTAACAATTACAGTTCAGTCCCAACTTCTATATTATGGCAATATCTTGAAACAAAATATCATGGAAGATTGAAGTGATAGTTTTCTAATGTAAAGAAAAAGAAAGATAAATACTCTAAACAAGAACATCTATATAGATCGAAGGTTCACGCATTATGAACTCTATTTTTTTTAATTATAAAATGTACCTATCTAAGGGCACACCGGTAATCTTCTCATAGTTTGAAGGCCGAACGAGTGCTCCAAGAATATATTCCGATGGGAGAAGGTACCTGCAAAAGGCACTCCGACGCTCAAGTCAGGACAAGTACGAATATTGATAATAATAAATGAACAGTAACTTTACTTCAAGATGTGAACTATTTATACTGACATTAATGGGCCTAGTCTTCGATGGGCCATGTGCTAAGGTTACCAAATTAAGTAATATCCTGTTAATCAGCTTACACATATGATTAACCCTTAATCACTACTTAGGGATGATTAACCAGTCAACAAATCACCTTTGCTAAATTGTCTCGGTTGTCAGGGATGTCGATCGACCGTCGGTCATCGAAGGTGCCGAGGTATGTTGATTGGTATGGTCCCATTCGACTGCCGACCGTGCCAAATGGTGTAAGGGGTTCTCAGGATGGGAGACATGGTCAAGCGGGCCTCTCCTATCGGCTGGCAAAGGCGCCGAATGGGATCTTGCTTTTTGTGTTGTCGAATTGGTGTGACTGAATGGCCGAGGGGTATGGTCAAATGAGCATGGCCTAGTGGCTGAGGGGTATGGCCGAATGGCCTAACCCGTACATAAAGTTATATGGAACTTGAGTAGTTATGATAGTATCTATATGCAATTAAGTCCCAACTAGTTTGATTTTAAAGAGAATATAGTAATAGAGACAATTCATGCATTCATTATTTTACGTAAAAATAAGAATAAAATAAATAATAATAATTAATGATAAATATGTGTAAGTAGTTAATAATTAGAAATTACAAATAATTTTAAATAATTGTTTAAAAAATGGAAAATGTTTCAAAAATAAATTTATGAAAAAATGGAAAAAAAATAAAAATTGAATAGAAAAATATATGGAGAGACAAAATATTTTAAAAATTATGGGATAAAATGATAAAAAAAAATACACTAAAAACATCGATTTCTTTATTAATAGGGTGGATATATAATTTTCCAACTGCGAAAACTAAATATGAAATCCAATATTGATTTCAATATCTCAATGGTTTCGTACCGTTCTACATATTTTGTTTTTATGAAGTGAGAAAACTCTCATATAAAAAGAATTTATAAAAAAAATAAATATTAAAAAAGCTTGACCCGTGTATGAGTACTACTCCCTCCAACTATAATTTTTGATATTTTTTTTCCAATATTTACGCATTCTAATCGACATTAATTATTTTTTCATATAAATTCTATTTAATAATTAATATTCTTGCCCCACAACTATAGAAATTCTTACTCTCAATTTTCCAATATATTAAAAAATACTTTAAATATAATCTCTCTATTTTTTTATTTGACGTTAAAAGTTTATTTAAAAAAATTAAGAAAATAATTAATGTTTTAATTTTTTAAAATATATATTATTTAATTTTCTATTATATTCTTTAGGTAATTGGTGAAGAAATAAGTACATTAAAAATGAATAAACACATTATTCAGTAAACATATATTAATTATAAGAATAAAAAATAAAAAAATTAATAAATTATTAATTTTAAAAAAATAATAATAAAAAAGAATAAAAAAATAATTTGAAAATAATTAAAAAAAAACAGAGGGAATAACATACTAATATTAAATTACAAAAACCTTAAACATAAAAATTATGGTGCAAAGGAGTAATATTTTGCAAAATGCAGGAAACGTAGCAGAATTAAATAAAGAATAACTACATAAGAAGAAAAATTAAAAAAAAAAAAGAAAAAAGAAAAAAGAAAAACGACGTCGTATAAAAGTATACAAAGAGCAACCAAGGTAGCAAAGTCGGCGACATAAGACATAGCAGCAGAGTGGAGAAAGAAAAGAAAAGAAAAAAAAAATGGCGACGGAGATGGAAGAACCTGTAGACGAGTATGTCATCAAAAAAAACAATGATGAAACGTCGTAAATGTGGCCGGAACAGGTCGTTCATGGTAGCTTGGAATGTGGATGGAGCATTACACAACCCAAAGGGCATAACCTTGAACTCGAAATGGCCGTTATGGGTTCTGAACGCTGTTTTCTTTGAATCCGAAGGCACCATCAATATCTGATGAAATCCTGAGAAGAGATCAAGCTTGGAAAACCATGAAGCATGACCGAGTTCGTCCAACAATTCATCAACGGTTGGGATGGGGAATTTGTCCTTGACAGTGGCGGCGTTTAGAGCACGATAGTCCACGCAAAATCGCCATGTGTCGTCCTTCTTTTTGACTAAGAGCACCGGAGATGAGAATGGACTGGTACTGGGAGTGATAAACCCAGATTCAAGCATCTTTGCAACCTGTGTCTCGATTTCCTGTTTTTGGAAATGAGGATAGCGGTATGGTCGAACTAAAATGGGAGGGGTATTGGGCAGTAGGGGAATGGAATGGTCTGTGCTTCGCGAGGGTGGAAGGGATGTAGGGGTGGTGAATAAGGTGGAATATTTTGTGAGTAATGATTGGAATGGGGGGCAATGGAAGGAATGGTGGAATTTGTTTGTGGTTGTTGAGTTTGAGGGGGTAAGGGTAGTGTTGGTGAAGAAGGCTCTAGTATTAGTTGGAAAAGAGCTTCAACACGGTTTGTATGATGTAAGCGTCGTAACTGGTGGGCAGTGATTGGGATGGGGCTGGAGCTATGTTCTCCCTTTAGTTCGACCATGTTGCCTTCCCACATGAACCACATAAAGGGCCCATTGTAGTCCATAAT